AAAGGGGCATTGTGCCAGGTGCGGTGCACACCGGCAGTCCCAGCACCCGGAAGGCTGAGGCAGGAGGATCGCAAGTTTGAGCCAGCTTGAGATACATAACAAGTTCAAGGCCAGCCTGGACTGCATAGTGAGACCCTCTCTTAGAAAGCTAAAGAACAGATATATGAGGCTTACTGTGATCAAATTCAACCACTCACATCCAGTTCCATGGGTGGGTTGCTTATTTAACTATTTGAATTATTTATTTAATGAAAAGGAATCATGTGTTCCTGTTGTATTGTCTTTGTTTGAGACAGGGTCTCACCGTGCAGCCCAGGCTGGCCTCAAACTCATAGCGGTGGCCCTGCCCCGGCCTCCCGAGTGCGGGATCACAGGTGTGCACCACCATGCCCGGCTATGCCCCGCCAGGGTACTGGGAATCGAACTCAGGACGTGGTAAGTCCTTCACCACCTTTGTGTTGTCCAGATTCTTTATTTTTTTAGTTTATTGGTCCATTTTAGGTACACAGTACAGTTACATTCATCACTGGGATGTTGTCCCTCTACGTGACAGGTCTTGGTTCTCATTTTTTCCCCTTGTCCCTGCCCTCCCTTCACCCCCTCCTCTCCTCCCCATTTACAGACACTTTATTTCCATCTTTTCGTTTTCTCATATTTTTCTTTTCCCTTATTCCCTTTCCCCTACCCTTCCCACTTTCCCTACACCTTTAGCCCTTTACTTCCTATTTCACATTGTCAGTTATCTCATTAGGATCTTATGTACTATTACAGTTTTTCACACCAGAGAAACTATTTGGTATTTACACGTGTGACTTATTTATTTCACTTAGGAGTATATGCTCAATATACATCCATTTTCCCATGCAGATTCTTTAAATTAAGCACATACTAGGCTGGATGTGGTGGCACACGCCTATAATCCCTGCACTCAGGAGGCTGAGGCAGGAGGATCACCTGTTGAATTTGAGGCCAGCCACTACATAGTGAGATCCCTACCAAGAAAACAAAACAAAATAGTAAAGATAATAAAACAAAATTTGAGTTCAGGAGGAGAAGGAGTCCTGGGAAACAGGCCTGAGACCTCCCCGGGGTAAGTGTGTGACCTCCAGCCGGCCACGGCCCAGAGAGGGCAGGTGGGTCTGGATGGGCCACAGAGGAAGAGGAGAAGGCAGGAAGCAGGGCTGGGAGACGCAAGCTCAAGAACCCGAGTTCGATTCCCCAGGACCAAAAAGCCCAAGGCCATAGCCTCACAAGCAGAAGAGTTACAAGGCCGGACTCGGGGCTCCCGGCAGAAATGTCTGTCTGAACACGATTTCTGGAAACTCTCACCCTTCTGCAGAAGACGTGGCTTTGCTCACTGCTGTGATGTCCACAGCAGACTGGGCTCCACATCTGGAGTGCTCTGGCCTGGCTTTGGTGTCCGGCACTCAGACGCGGATGTTTTACACGAGAGGGAAAAGCAGCTCATTTCAGGCAAGAGGGTGAAAGTCTGAGAGGAGGAAGAATAAAGTCCATAGGTGATCGCACCAAGAAACCAACCAGGGGCCGGGACTTAGCTCAGGAGCAAGGTCCTGAGTTCCATCCCTGGTACCAGAAAGAAAAGAATGAAACAAACAAATTAACCCATAACAAATGCTGGAGCGGCTGTGGGGAGAAAGGAACCCCGCTCCACTGCCGGTGGGAGCGCAGACTCGGGCAGCCGCTGTGGGAATCTGTGTGGAGACTTCTTTCTTTCCTTCTTTCTTTCCTTCTTTCACTGTACCAGGGATCAAACTCAGGATCTTGCGCTCACGGAACAGTCATTGCCTGGGTCTCCTTGGGCCGGCGCCTGGGGCACTGGGCACGGACTGCCGTTTCGCCTTCGGTTACATCACGCCACGCGTAGTCGTGTCCATTTCTCTATCAGAAATCACCTCGTTCCTCGTTCCCTCGTCTGCTGAATTCCCCTCTAAACTGTGGCATAAGCGCACGAATCTTCCCCGCGGCCTTCTCCACCGCCAGGCACCCGGTAAGCCATACATTTTGGTCAAGTGAATTTTCTTTTGTGTTTGTTTGTTTTCTTTCCATACCGGGGATTGAACTCAGGACCTTGCACTTGCCAGGCAGGCGCAGTGCCGCTGAGCTACATCCTCAGCCCTACATACTCCATCTCTGATGGTGTTGACTCTGTAGCAGAGACGACTTTGGGGGAGATTTTATTTCGTGGCCCTTGGGTTGTACAGTGCGGGCCTTTGGTCTGCACCTTCCTGCACCTCCTCTGTCAGCCTGCACCTAAGGGGACCTCAGAAACCGAGTGAAATTCCCTGCTCTGTCCAGGCACAAACACAAGCCCCAGCCTCAGGGTGATTATCTTGGGGGGCGGAGGGATCAAACCCAAGACTCAAGAGAGCTCAGCCAGCGCGCTACCACTAAGCCATGCTATAGGCCCCGAGGCACAGTTCCAGCGTGTATAAAGCCATGTGTGTGGCACCCCCAGATTCAGGAGTGACAGCATTCCCGAAAATGTGTGTTTCTGTGCGCCAGTGCCTGCGTCCTCACCAGAGCAAAGTACTACTCTCGACGCTGTGTTTAGTGGTCCTTTCTTTTTGTTGTCGTAAGAATGGTGTTATAGCCCGGTGCAGTCAGTGGTGCCTGCCTCCATAGTCAAGTCCCAGCCACTCACTAGGGAGGCTGAGGCGGAAAGATCCCCTGAGCCCGGAAGACCCAGAACAGCCTGGGCAACATAGCAAGCCCCTGCTTAAAAACAAACAAACAACAACAGAAAAAAAAAAAAAAGCAGGGCATGGGCACAGCTGTAATCTCAGCACTCTGGGAGGATGAGGCAGGAGGACTGCAAGTCTGAACCCAGGCAATTTAGCAAGGCACTATCTGACCATCAAAGACAAAAAGGGCTGGGAATGCAGCTCAGTGCAAAGGTCCTGGATTCTATTCCCAGTGCAACAAAAAGAAAGCAAGAAACCTTTGTTTACCTTCAGCTTGTGTAACAGTCACCTCCAATATGTTTCTAAAAGTTTTGTTTGCTTGTTTCCAGTAATATGGATCGAGTCCGGGGCCTGCTGAGCTCCATCCCCAGTCCTCTTTTGTTTTTTATTTTGAGACAGGGACTCACTAAGTTGACCAGGCTGGGCTTGAACTTGCAACCCTCTTGCCTCAGCCTCCTATAGTGCTGGGATTATAGGCGTACACTGGCTTCCCCAAATGTTTTAAAGCTTTGTTTTCATATTTGCCATCTGGATTGATTTTTTTTTAATGTAGCAAAATATCCCCAGTTTCTTCCTGAAAGTGTCAGGGATCCCCCCGCCCGCCAGTCCCTGGCAACATCACTCCCATCATGCCCCGGGTCAGCATGGCTGTCTGCTCTGGGCTCCCCCGTCCTTTCCGTGGGTCATGCCTCTCTTAGTTATCCGTGGCACTCGGGTGGTGGGGACTGGGTGTCATTTGTACTGGCAAACAACGCAGAGCAGACCCCGTGGTCCACGTGTTACGCGAGGTTGCTTCCAGCCAGGCGTGACGGTGGCGCACGCCTGTAATCCCAGCACTCAGGAGGCAGAGGCAGGAGGATCGCTGTGAGCTCAAGGCGAGACTCTATCCCACCCCCCAAATCTGTGAACCCAGCAGGGTTCACGTTCACAGCACAGGAGAAGCAGGGCTGGTGTGGGGTATGGCCCGGAGGTCCCCAGTCCTGTCTCTCGGGCTGCACTGACAGGGCCCAGCCAGTGCGCAGCAGGGGGGCAGGGACAGTTTGAGGAACTCTTTGTTTCCTTTCCGGGCGGTGCTGGGATGGGCCCAGGGCCCTGTGTAGCCAGGGCGAGCGCTGCAGCACCACAGGTCGGAGAAGGGGCGGAGGGAGGGACCGGGACGCGGACAGCTGCGGCCGCTGTCCTCCTGGGGTTCCTGGCCTCAGCCCGGCCTCCCTCACCTCCCTGCTCCCCGCTTCCTTTCCCGGTGCCACCGGAGCCTGTGCCCCCAAACGGTGTCCGGGCCGGGCAGTTTCTTCTGATGAGCAGCGGCTGCGTGGAGACCAGCGGGGAGTGGGGACTGCAGCCCGCACGGGATGCGGCCTGAGCCTCAGGTTCTGCCTCAGGGAAGGGGTGAAGGGACCGTACCCAGCACTGTGGGGCTGGGCACAGCTCGGTGGCAGGCCGCCCTGGAGTCGCCCTCAGGGTCAGCCGACCTCACTCTCCACAGCCTCTTCCCAGAGGAGGAAGAGACCGAGTTGAGGTTAAGTTTTGTGATTCTCTTACTCTAAATAACAGTAGGCAAGAGCTGAATCCCAAAGCACGAAATTACAAGAGCCTGCTGGAAAAACTCCCCGCACTTATCCAGCGCCTGGTCAGTCAGGTCCACGTCCCCCCTCTGCTGTGGTCTACACCCGCCAGGCCTGACTCTGACACGGGCCAGCAGCCAGCTTCCCGTAAGGTCCCGGCTCTGAACTGGGCGTGGTGGTGCACGTCGGTATTCCAACGCTTGGGAGGCAGAGGCAGGAGGATTGCACAAGGTCAAGGTCAGCCTGGACTACACAGTGAGATCCTGTCCCAAAAAGCAAAAACAAATCCAACTGTATTTGACACTGACGGCCTAGCCCCACATTGCAAAGGGCACCGGCGGCTCATAGCTGCGTTAAACAGGGCAGCTGCAGAGATCCAGTCCTGTTCTGTGAGGACGACCAGGGTGGGGCGGGGCAGGCGTCTCCTAAGGTCCCAGTACCACATATACAGGGCCCTCCCCACAGAAACTGGAAGGAAGGCTGGGAATGTCACGCGTGGGCCCTAGGTTCAGTCCCCAGCACGGAGGGGCTAAAGGGGAGACAGAATCGGAAGGATGCAGTTTCCAGAACAGTTCCTGTATTTTTCTTATTTTTTGTTTTCTGATAAAGTCTTTTTTGTTTTTGTTTTTGTTTTTGTCTTTTGAGACAGGGTCTCTCACTGTGTAGTTGAGACTGACCTGGATGGAACTCACTGTGTAGCCCAGGCTGGTCTCGAAATCACAAGGATCCTCCTGCCTCAGCCTCCCGAGTGCTGGGATTACAGGCGTGTGCCGCCGCCACGCCCGGCTCAGGGGCCTGTGTTAAGTAGGTGGCTCCTGGCCTGGATCCATCCCTGGTCCAAACGGGAGCGTCCAGCCCCTTAATTTGGGGTTGCCTAGTGGAGTTCAGAGCTCGGTATCCACGAGGCACTTACAGAGTCTAATTAATGTTTGCAAAAAAAGACTTGGAGATCCCTCGGAGGAAAAAGTACCCTGTGTAAGACGAGCCGGGCAGACACACTTGGTGGGTGTGACCAGGCGGGCTGTTTACAGAAGCAGCCTGGCAAAGTAGGTTACAGGCCAGGCGGCCCCACCTCTCCACCCGAGCCAGAAGTGGGCTACAGACGGTCCTGTGGTCCCGCCGGGACGGTGACGGCCGGATTTCACGGAGGGAGCACAGATCCCCGAGGCAAAACGGTCGGCTTCACCGCCAGGCCTGCGAGTCTGGTGGGCTAATTAGGAAACCACAGCCGGAGCTTCCGACTTCACAAGGTAGGAGACGCTGTCTATCCCGGGCCTGGAGACGATGGCTTTGCAAGTCTGCTGAGAACTGAGCATTGTCTTCTAATTAATCCTGGAAGGGCTGGCGCCCGGTTGCCCCCAAAACGGCGCTGGTGGCCTAATTAAGAACCCCCATGTCGCGATACTTAAAACACATATGGGAACCCCAGGGGTTTGCAGTGTCTTTTCTTAGCCTCTAATGACAATGATGAAAAATGCGAAAATGAGGCCAGGAGTTGAGTCGCTGCAGGACCAAAGGTAAGGGCTTCTCTGAGAGTACAAGCCCAGCAGAGAGGAAACCGCCTTCCAATTTAAGCAGTCAAGTGTATTACGTTTGCCTTGCAGTGCATGGGAATGCTCTGAGTTTTTTTCCTTGTTATTTTTATTTATTGACTTATTTTGGTCCTGGGGATCGGACTCAGGACCTTATGCTTATAAGGCAGGTGAAGCACCAGCGAACTGAATCCCTGGCCCTCCTCGTTACTTGCATCAGCCAGAACATTGGTCCAGTCAGTCCTGTAGTATTTGTGAAGACCAAATAGATTAGTGTGGTGTACTGAGGCTACGCCTCCTTGGAAGGGATTAAAGAACTCTCAGATGTCTAAGAGTTTATTCTGCTGGGCGTGGTGGCGCACGCCTGTCATCCCAGCACTCGGGAGGCTGAGGCAGGAGGATTGCTGTGAGTTTGAGACCAGCCTGGGCTACACAGTGAGTTCCAGGTCAGTCTCAAGTACATAGTGAGACCCTGTCTCAAAAAATAAAAAATAAATAAAAATAATGGCAGGTGGCAGAACCACTGAGCCAAATCCCGGCAATAATAATAAAAGATAAACATATGTCGTCTTCCAGTCCTTCACTGGGGGAACTATTTGTACTCCTGTCTAAAGCCAATCCCTACAGTCTTGCAGTCCCACTGACACAATCTCCTTCTCCATCAGCACTGCAGAAACACGTTGGAGTTCCTTTCCCTGCAACAGTAGTTGGAAGTAGCGGCCCCCACCCGTAGTCCCAGCACTGCAGGGGCCTAGGATAGCGGACGCACAAACTCCAGCCCAGCTAGGGACACATCCACACCCCGTCAAGACTTGGAAAAAGAAAAGACTGTCCTGCTGCCATGCGGCCCTGCCTCCCCGCCTCGGAGCCAGCTGACTGGGGACTGAACCCTGCACAAACGGAGAGGCGAAATAACCTTCCCTTCCTTTAAAAAGAGCGGGGAGGGCAGGGGGTTGTGGGTGAAAGGTCTGGTTCAACCCTAAGTACTGCGGACAAGATGGGGGCAGGGAGGAGGAGGGAAGGAAGGAAACCAATGCCTGCCGCTCCAGTTAGCTACGGACAGGCTGGGGGCGGTCACTTGAGCCCAGGAGGTCAGGTCGGCCCGGGCAACACAGTGAGACAAACCAAAAAAAGCAAACAAACTCCTCTGTAATTCAACCCCCCAGCTGTGTGGTCCTTACCAGCTTCTGCTCTAGTTTTGTTTGGTACTGGTGACTGAACCCCAGGGTCCCACACTTGCTGGGCAAGCACCTCACCGCCCAGGAGCACGCGCAGTCCTATCCTGGGCTTCCTTTGTGAGCTGTGCGCGCGTGTGTTGGCGTGTGTGCGCGTGTGTGTGTGTGCGTGCGCGCGCGTGTGTGCATTTCTGGCCTGGGCAGGCAGGTGCTCTACGGCTGAGCCCCCCATCGCCCGCTCTTTGGGACGGGGTCTCCTTGACTTGCTTGAACCCCTCTGGCCTTCCCTCCCGGCCAGCTGGGTCGGTCTGTGCACCGACCCCACGCAGCTCAACATTTCCATCTTTTGAATTCTCCTTTCATAGTCAACTCCGCCCATCAAAGTATTTATTGAGCAGATGCAGAAAGCGGGGACCAGGAATGTTTAGCGTAGGGATAAGTGAATTCAGACAACCTACCACAAAAAACTAAGACAAGAAAAGTTGGCCTTGTTTCTTCAAATGGCAAAACTACAGCCAATGGTTAGGAAAAATAAATCCAGTGTGGTATTTGCACAAGCGGCTTTAATTTTCGCAGTGTAATAGATACCGTGCTTACTTTTTCATTTTTTGAAAGGAGACATAAATCTTTTAAAACTTTTAATATTTCTCTCGGACCTCTCAAGCAAGTCACATTTTTGTGACAGAGGCTCTGGCCAGCAACTGATCCACTTGCGCCATCAAGTCAACCAGGTGGTTTATTAAGGAAACGTCTTCTGTTCCCCGACTGTATTTCAAGTTCTACCTCAGGGTGCCCAGCAGGTGGGCAAAGCTCCACGAAGCAGATATATTAGAATCCCCTGGGATTTTGGAAAACATATTTTTCCCTTTGTTTACTCCCTAGGATTCTCATATTCCATTCCTAGGGAGCCACAAACGAAGCAGCGTAGGAGACCCAAGTAAAGTGTGCGTGAAAATAGGGGAAACACAGAGACTTTGTCCTACAGCGAGGTTCTGTCTAAGCGGATATTAGAAAATAAAATATTCAAGGGCCGGGGATTTAGCTCAGTGGCGCTGTGAGTGCCTGGCAAGTGCAAGGTCTTGAGTTCAATGCCCGAAACAGTGGGAGGGGGAGAAATAAGTTAATTAATTAATTAATTAACTAATTCAGGCTGGAGAGTGGAGCGTTCTGAGACCCTGGGTTCAAAAGCCAGAACCAAAACAAATAAAAAAGCCCTTTAATACATTATGTTTCAGGATAAAAAATACACAATACTGAACAGTTGTGTCTTCTTTTTCTGTGTGTTTTTTTTTTTTTTTTTTTTTTTTTTTTTTTTTTTTT